GGCCCGAGGTCAAGGGGGCAGGTGAGGCCTGGAGGCCCCGCCCCGCCCCGCCGTCCGCCTGAGGGTCTAGCGCGGGCGCCCAGCCCTCCGAAGTCCCTTAGGGAAACAGCCCAGGAGCGTGGGGAGCTGGCCCTGGCTTTCGGGGATGGTAGTCTGAGGAGTCTAGGGAGATTCCGGGTGGGAACAGAGCCTCTCTCTGGGCCGCCCTCCTACCCGTAAGGAGAGGGCTCCGGGTGGAAAAGGCCCGGAGGGACCCGCAGTGCGTCGGCCGGCGCTGGGTCTCTATTTAGCCGCCGGTGGTCTGGGGACTTAGTTGACCTGCTAATGAGTTAATGGGGCGGGCCGTGCTTCCTAGAAATCTTGTGGATTGAGATTCCTGGAGTAATCTAAACCCTGCCGAGTGTACCCCCTCCGGTCTGCCTTCCTGCCCCCCCCACACCCACGGGCCCCAGCCCCCACCGTTCAGCCTCGGTGCCAGCCCCCAGCGGAAATGCCAACCTTTGGGGGAGGCTCCCACCTACGCAGCCTGTTGACTCTTACCAGCGTCACGGGGACTTTTAATTCACGCAGCCACTCAGCCTTTGGGGGAAAGTTTATTGGGTGCCTACTGTGTGCCGAGAGTAACAAGGAGCCTAAACAAAGGACTCCCGCCTTCAGAGTCTGGTGAGGGGCACAGGTCCATCCGAGAGTCACAAACAACACATCACAGGGGCCTTCTGCAGGTGACGGCTGGATGCAGCTGTAGCCCGTGCTAAGAAACGGACGGGAGTGCCAGAGGAGGGGACGTGAAGGACCAGCAGGGGTTGACAGGCGAGTGGGGAGGAGGGACATTCCAGATGCGGCAAGTCCGAGGCAAGAAGTACAGCCCCTGGGAGGCCACAGTTCAAGGTGAGGCTGGAGAGGCGAGAAGGGCCCGCGGCAGAGCCTTTAATTAAGAGCTCCAAGGCCTGTGACCGGGGCCCAAGAGGGTGGGCCACCCACGGAGACTATCCAGAGGGGCAACCTGACCAGCTCGGTTGGAGGGGGCACCACCAGAATGCAGGGGGACCAGTTAGGAGGCTGTTGCGAGAGTTAGCTGGTTTGGGGCGGCCCCTCTATAAATGGTGAGGGCCGTAGGACGGGCCGTGCCCGGCCCCTCTGAACCCACACGCACACAGGCACGCACAGGCACACGCACACAGGCACGCACAGGCACACACACAGGCACGCACAGGCACACACACAGGCACATGCACACACAGGCACGCACAAGCACAGGCACGCACAGGCAGAGGCACACACACACAGGCACAGGCACAGGCACGCACACACTGCCCAGCCTGGGAGTGCACAGGAGAGGTGCCCGATACACATCTCCGACGTCGGCATGAAGTCAGTTATCCAACAACGTTCAATCGTGTGCACGGGCCCTGGGGCTTGGGGGGCCGGTGGGTCGGAGGGAAGGACACGGGCTTCCTGCCGCCAGCGTCCCAGCGTGGAGCCGGGGACCCCGCCCCTCCACTCGCTTCCTTTGTCGGTCACGGTCACGTGCACGTCCACGGCCTGGCAGTCCTCTCTGCTCCTGGCAGGGCACGGCCAGCTCTGTCCCCCACTTTGGTGTGCCGGCCTCCGCACACCACCCGGGCCCCTCAGCGGTCCTGGTGCCGAAGTGGGGGTGACGGAGGGTGCCGAACTGGAGGCAAGTCATAGTGTCCGGGGATGTGGCTGTTCTTGGGTGAGTCGTAGTGGCCGGGGGGCAGGGGGCGCTGGGAACCCACGGAGTCTCGGTCTAGACTCAGAGAGGGGACAGGACGAGAGTGAGGTGGCTCCTCTCGCCCTCGCCAGTCTCCCCTCCCTGGTCTCTCCTGCCCTCAGAGGGCCAGTGCCTGGCTGCCAGCCACCGTGCAGTGCGTGCTGCTCCCCAGCTGCCAGTGAGGGAGGCCGTCTGGACCTACGCTCCTTACAGGAGGTGAGGACACCGTGTCACCTGCCTTCTTCCTCACTTTTCTGGGCACCAGCTCTACAAGTCAGGAGCTGTCCAGCCACCATTTCAGATCCTCGGCCCTGGGGAGTAGGTGCCGCCACTCACAGGCCCTAAGAGGCACGGGGACACCTGAACGCCACACCTGGTCTGAGCCCAAGCTGGGCCCCAAGGACCTCACGCGCTGGCACATCGCGCCACCTCCACATGCCGTCCCTCTGTCCCTCCCTGGCCTACCTTCCTTGTCCCCACCCCAGGGCAGGAGGGGGGGCTCACCAGGGCCCAGAGGGCTGGGCTGCTCATAGGCGCCGCTGTCTCTCTGTGGCTGGGGGTGTCGCCGCCTCTGGCTGTGCCGGGGCTGAGGAGGCTGCCTGGGGAGGGAACCTGCAGGGGGGCCCTTCATCTCCATGTAGCTGCTCTCTCGGGGGCCCCCGGGCAGGCCCGGCAGGTCCCGGATGGTGGCGTAGGGGTTCTCACTGCTCAGGGAAGCCATGCTGGCCCCCAGCCCCTCTTCGGAGATGGGCCCTGAGGGTCGGAGAAGAAATCGAGCTGGGGCAGGGGACACTGGCCTGCAGACCCCAGCCCACCCCCTCCCTGGCCCCGGGCCAAACCTTTACCGTAGAAGGGGCCCAGGCCGTCACTGTTGCTGTAGCTACAGCTGTAGCGTCGGTCCAGGCGGCTGCTGCCTGAGGAGGAGGAGGAGGCAACACACGGTCAGACCTCCCGGTCCCCTCTCCCGGCTCCAGCCTCCTCGAACTGGGCCAGAACCCCTTCTGCAGACACACACTCCAATGGAGCAGGACGCTGGGCTGCACACGGCCCCCCTCACCAGGGACCCTGGCCTCCGGGCTCCTACCCCCATCCAGAGGCCCTGGAGGGGGCTCCCGGCTGTGCTTCCAGTCGGCAGGCAGGGTGGCATGGTTATCGCGCCCATGGGCTCCACCTGGCCGCTCGGGGGCCTGGAGACTGGCGAAGAGCTGACCACCGGGAATCTGACGGGAGGGGACAGCAATGGAGCTTCCCAGAGCCGCGGGTCAGCCCCCCTCCCCCGCAGGGCACCCTTCCCCCAGCACTGACCTTGTTGGGGGGCGGGGGGTTAGGTGAGCACTGTGACAGGGTGTGGTAGCTGGGGTTGGAGTAGTAGTGACTGTAGCTGGGAGGGACATCTGTGAGAACAGACACAGGCGCCGGGCGACCTGCCCGGTCAGACAGGCCTGGCGGCCCCTCTGAACTCCTCCTCCGTCCAGCTCTGCGCTGCCCACCTCCCGGGGCCAGGGCAGGGTGCAGGAGCCTGTGCCTGTGAGCCAGGGCTCGTAGGTGTGCCCTGCCCCAGGCCAGCTCACCTGGCATGACGTACTCAGAGCCGTCCAGGCGCCCGCTGCTGTAGGCCACAGCCAGGTGTTGGTGCTCCTTGCCTTTCTGCCAGTGGCGGTAGCCGATGAACAGCGCCACGAGGGCCACCACCAGGGACCCCAGCACCGCAACGCCGATCACCGGCCCCAGTGGGTTGTAAGCCACTGGAGAGGTCGGCATCATGGTGAAGGGCTCCAGGCTTCCTGGTTGGTGGGGGGTGGGCAGTCAGGACAGTGTCTTGCCTCTGCTGGTGAGCTTGGGGTGTACATGGGAGAAACTCCCTAGATGAGGGGCCTAGATCCTGGCAGAAACCCGGCAGGTCCCTGTGTCCTTGTTCCCCAGAGACTAGGGGGCCTAGGAAACTCACCGATCCTGCAGGGGACACCACTGTGCCCGGGGGGACACACGCAGGCCCCGGTCTCTGGGTGGCACCTCTCTCCGGAGCCACAGTGGCATGTCTGAGAGCAGTTGGCACCGAACGTCCCTGGAGTACAGCCTGGGAGAGAGCCAGGGAGGCAGGCAGGTCAGAAGTCGCCAGGACAGTACGGTCCCCTCCTTGGGCTGGAGCTAACTCGGGGACAGGACCATGGAGCTCCCCTCCGTTGGTACCTTCCAGGCAGAGGTGTCCGGTCCAGCCTGGGGGGCAAAAACAGCTCCCATCCTGGGGGTGGCAGGTCCCGCCGTGGTGACAGCGGCAGAGCTGGGCGCAGCTGGCTCCCCAGTGTCCCGGCTGGCACGCTGCAAGAGACGAGGCGCCGGTCTGGCAGGCCAGCCAGCCCCACCCCCGACGCACTCCCGGCCCCCAGCATCACTGGAACCTTCCCCTCGGCAATGGGACACCAAGGCGCTGAGCAACATTCGGCTCACGAATGATCTGCAGACCCACGTGCCCGGCCGCCCACTGAACATTTGCGCCTGGCCATCTAAAGCCACTCAGAACAACGTGGCAGAGCCAGACGGCAAAAGCTTTCCAAACCACGCGCACCGCACAGCTCTGGACTACGAAGTAAGCATCCACACTATTTAAGGCATAACTTTTGTGTGTCTGACGTCAGCAAATAATCCAACAGTAGCTGTTACTGAATGCCGTGGAAGAGTCCTCCACCCGGAGGACTCCCGCCCTGCCCACCGAGGAGCCTGCACGCAGCCTTTCACGGACTTGCGGCCTCTCAGCTCCCCTTCCCAAACGTTTTTCCCTTGGCGGTTTTTTTTTTTTTGGACTAATCTTTTCTATGATGTTCTTCAAATATTTATGTGGGAGGGAAGCCACATGTAAGTAAATTGAAAAATGCAAAAACAAAGAGAACGTGTTCAAAACTGAGCTCGCGCCCCACCCCACCACACACGCTCCCGGGCTCCCTCGGAGAAGCTGGGGAGCTGGTTTCCTGGCCCGTTCACTGCTGCGCCCTCAGCACCCAGCGGGGCGGCAATGCCCAGTGTTTGTAGCGTTTACACGACTGAGTGAATGACTCAAGCTGGGTCCACAGGCTTCTATGCCGCGGAGCCCGGGACAGAAGCCTCGAGCCACAGCCCAGCTCCGGGCACGCACGCCAGTCACGCGAGCCCCCAGTAGGTGCTACGTACGTTGGGAGCAGTTGGGGCCGGTCCAGCCAGCCAGGCAGTGGCAGGTCCCATCCGAGGGGTGGCAGTAGGAGTGGTCAGCGCACTTGCAGGGCACGCAGCGTTTGCCATAGTGGCCAGGCTGACAGGCTGGGGGGAGGGGCTCCGGGTGACGGGGTGCAGGTGCCAACCCCTCAACTAGCCCTGGATCCCCCCACTGTCTCCCTGGCCCAAAGACAGAAGAGACAAAGGCGGTAGAGCAGGGCCTGCCGGCGTGGACACTGCGCTGCCCGCACCGCTCGCTCGTCCTGCCGGCAGCGGGGGGCACGGGGGGGGGGCCCACATCGCTGACAGGAGGGGCCGCGGAAGCCGGGTGCACACACGCAGTTGCCGTTCACAGGGAGGCAAGTGCCTCCATTCTTACAGGTGCAGGTGTTGCTACAGTTGGCTCCCCAGAAGCCCTGAGGGCAGGGCAGGTGGCAGCGGGTACCTGTGGGGGAGAGAGGACGGGTGAGCCTGCCCCACCCTCACCCATCCATAGGGGTTCTTCTGAGCACCCCCACTCCACAGTGGGGCTGGGGCCTAGACACCCAGAACGCTCACCCATCCAGCCAGGCTGGCACTGGCAACGTCCATGAACAGGGTCACAGCCATCAGCGTGGTCGCAGTCACAGCGACTGGCACAGCCGTCACCAAACTGTCCCTTCTTGGAGAGGGAGGGGGAGTGGTCAGCTAGGGGGCTGCCATGCCCTCCCCTCCCCCAGGCAGGCAGACTGGTGGGCACTTACCGGGCAGGGGAGCTGGCAGTGGGCCCCGTACCACCCAGGGGTGCAGGTACAGGCTCCGGTTTGGGGGCTGCAGGCTGCTTCGTGGGCGCACTGGCAGCTGGCATTGCAGCCGAAGCCCCAGGTTCCAGGCGGGCAAGGCACAGAGCAGTTACCACGCTGCCAACCTGGAAGAGGGACCTTGCAAGTAGGCACGGGACCGGCTCCCATCCTGAGCCAGCGCACATTGTGCATCGGCTGTGCCAGGCTCTGAGCTGGCGGGGGCGGGGAGGGCGGG